CATGAGTCTGACCCCCTCCAACCAAAGACTCATTTATCACCTTTCAGCTTCAGCTTTGTTTATTAACCCAAGTCTGCAACACATAAAGAAGACTCTTCGAGGCACACAAGAAATCATCAATTCAGCTTGCTTAAAACCTAACATTGTCATCATTTTTATTTTAATAGATAATTTAGAATTACAATATGGTGCCACTGGCCATCTGACTTGTTGCTTCTCTCAATCATTTCATTGGTCTTAGGTCTTTCAAAAAGGTGGATACTTGGTTATATATAACCAAGGGTGAAAAGGCTCATTCTTTTCACCCTTTAAACTATTAACGAGCTGTAATTTGTGCACAGAATGTCTTTAAATGCACCAGCACAGCTTTCTAAAAGTGTAGCTCAAAACTGCTCCAGTACCAGGAGCTTGCTTAAGTAAATGTACTTAGTTATTTTCCAAAACGACTATGTTGTTGGTGTGGACTGTAATATAAAAAGGTGTTTCTGTGAAAAATGACCTGGGAGAACTGGGAGATCCTTTGTCAGGAGCCTTACATATATAAGCTTTAGCTGTACTTTAGTATTTTGTCAGCATTGTACAGTAGCTGAATAAACCTTTGTGAAGTTAGGCCTACATTGCACTACCTGCAGTAATTTTTACAGTGCCTTGCGAAAGTATTCGGCCCCCTTGAACTTTGCGACCTTTTGCCACATTTCAGGCTTCAAACATAAAGATATAAAACTGTAATTTTTTGTGAAGAATCAACAACAAGTGGGACACAATCATGAAGTGGAACGAAATTTATTGGATATTTCAAACTTTTTTAACAAATAAAAAACTGAATAATTGGGCGTGCAAAATTATTCAGCCCCTTTACTTTCAGTGCAGCAAACTCTCTCCAGAAGTTCAGTGAGGATCTCTGAATGATCCAATGTTGACCTAAATGACTAATGATGATAAATAGAATCCACCTGTGTGTAATCAAGTCTCCGTATAAATGCACCTGCACTGTGATAGTCTCAGAGGTCTGTTTAAAGCGCAGAGAGCATCATGAAGAACAAGGAACACACCAGGCAGGTCCGAGATACTGTTGTGGAGAAGTTTAAAGCCGGATTTGGATACAAAAAGATTTCCCAAGCTTTAAACATCCCAAGGAGCACTGTGCAAGCGATAATATTGAAATGGAAGGAGTATCAGACCACTGCAAATCTACCAAGACCTGGCCGTCCCTCTAAACTTTCAGCTCATACAAGGAGAAGACTGATCAGAGATGCAGCCAAGAGGCCCATGATCACTCTGGATGAACTGCAGAGATCTACAGCTGAGGTGGGAGACTCTGTCCATAGGACAACAATCAGTCGTATACTGCACAAATCTGGCCTTTATGGAAGAGTGGCAAGAAGAAAGCCATTTCTTAAAGATATCCATAAAAAGTGTCGTTTAAAGTTTGCCACAAGCCACCTGGGAGACACACCAAACATGTGGAAGAAGGTGCTCTGGTCAGATGAAACCAAAATCGAACTTTTTGGCAACACTGCAAAACGTTATGTTTGGCGTAAAAGCAACACAGCTCATCACCCTGAACACACCATCCCCATTGTCAAACATGGTGGTGGCAGCATCCTGGTTTGGGCCTGCTTTTCTTCAGCAGGGACAGGGAAGGTGGTTAAAATTGATGGGAAGATGGATGGAGCCAAATACAGGACCATTCTGGAAGGAAACCTGATGGAGTCTGCAAACGACCTGAGACTGGGACGGAGATTTGTCTTCCAACAAGACAATGATCCAAAACATAAAGCAAAATCTACAATGGAATGGTTCAAAACTAAACATATCCAGGTGTTAGAATGGCCAAGTCAAAGTCCAGACCTGAATCCACTCGAGAATCTGTGGAAAGAACTGAAAACTGCTGTTCACAAACGCTCTCTATCCAACCTCACTGAGCTCGAGCTGTTTTGCAAGGAGGAATGGGCAAAATTTAAGTCTCTTGATGTGCAAAACTGATAGAGACATACCCCAAGTGACTTACAGCTGTAATCGCAGCAAAAGGTGGCGCTACAAAGTATTAACTTAAGGGGGCTGAATAATTTTGCACGCCCAATTTTTCAGTTTTTTATTTGTTAAAAAAGTTTGAAATATCCAATAAATTTCGTTCCACTTCATGATTGTGTCCCACTTGTTGTTGATTCTTCACAAAAAAATACAGTTTTATATCTTTATGTTTGAAGCCTGAAATGTGGCAAAAGGTCGCAAAGTTCAAGGGGGCCGAATACTTTCGCAAGGCACTGTATATTAAAAAAGAGTGGGCATTCTTTCTGGAGATGAACGACTCTCCAGGAACCTCACCCTCCCACGATGTCACGCGATGTGGCTGGCTTTGCCTAGGTTAATGTTGTTTACCAATCTCTGTTAAAGCAATGCACAGCTGTTTACTGACTGTTTCTGTGACCTACATCCATCCGAATAGGACTAAGATGCTAACAAAAATGTGTGGTGAAAACATTTCAGCGAGGAATTATAAACAAGAGGAATCGTTCGCAGTGCAAGCTGACACACATTAAACGCACAGTAACAACATGCACTGTGGTTAAACTGATGGGAGAAGCTTAAACTTGTTCGTAAACTTGACTATGACCACGTCTCTAAAAAAAAAAAAAACTGCCTATAAGAGCATCGTTTCAACAGAAATACAAGTGTGCTGCCTGCCTCGTTATTACAACAAATCCATATGGCAGCCAGACATTTTATATCATCAACAATATTGTTTTCAGTGCAAGATGATTTACACATCACTACTTTGAGTTTTAATTTTGGTTTTAAATATCGAGTCAACTTTTTCTGATTTGAGGTTGTACAAACAAACTTGGAACATGAATGTGACTCTGCTCTGACGAGAGTGCGGTGGGCTACGGACAGGCCACGCCATTTAAACATCTTTAACTGACACTCAATAGAATTGAGTCAGTTGTTGTTCTGTAAAAATATTTTGTCAAAATTAATAATTTGGAGGAAATTGTACTCAAACTGATTGAACATGAAAATCAAACACACAAATGCCCTTATCCATATTTCAGACCAGTAAGATCGCTGGGCCAAAGTTAAAGATATCAACTTTCTCCCAGTGATTAGGAAATTAACTCACTCCTCCTGGCTCACAGATCCTTCTGCTTCATTTAGCACTTTGTTACTAAACTCCACACCATGCATACTACTAAGGTTGTGAATAATGCTTAAGAAGGAAACGGGCTCACCTGAAGCCCCATCCATCTATGGCGCTGGCAAAGACCACATTCCCCTGGTCAGGAGAAAAGTAGAGGCGGGAGTCGTCACTCTCCTCCAGCCCAGTGCTCCAATCATACACCTGATCTCCACTTGACGTCTCACCCTCTCTCTCCTCTTCCCTCTCTTTCTCAGCTCGCTCCTCCAGCACTTTGGAAGTGAACAACGTCCCTGTCACTGCATTCACCTACAAATAACATTCACACCAACACTTACTTACAGTGGTCTATAAAACCATACCCACCCTTCATTTTAATGAGGTAGCTGAAGACAAAACTCATTTCACTGATGGGTATTTGGCAGTGCAACAGTGGGTCTGAGAGTGTTACAGAGGAGTTGTAGTTAGACACACTGACTAGGATGTGCGCCCATCACCTGTTCCAGTATCTTCTGCAGGTGGATGTAAGCTTCCTGAGAGGAGAGCTTCAGCTCCAGGATGAGTCGGTCTATCTTATTGATGACGAGAACAGACCTGATGTTGTCCAGCCACGCCTGACGCAGCACAGCCTGGGTCTATACACAAAACATACATGTCACAACAACAGCATACATCAGCAAGTTAGCAGAATGTCTGTGGAAATGTTATTTAGCAAATTGGCTAATGTTGCATAAAATTCCCAGCAAATATTACTCTGCTGTGGGCTAGTTACTGCAGCGATGTAGCTACACTCGACGATGTGTTTTATTCAGTTTGCTCAGAGTTTCTCTCCTCCCCTCCCCTTGTTGTGTCTTGTTGCTCTCCTCTATCCACTCACCCCAACCGGTCGAGGCAGAAGGCTGCTCACCAAGAGCCGGGGTCTATCGGAGGTTTCTTCCATTAAAGGGAGTTTTTCCCTCCCCACTGTCACCAAGTGCTGCTCAGGGGGATTTGTTGATAATAATAATAATAATAACAGCAAGATCTAGACCTTACTGTGTAAAGTGTCATGAGATGACTTTTGTTGTCATTTGGCGCTATACAAATAAAACTGAATTGAACTGAATTTCAGACATGCGTTTGAACAGTATGTGTCCTATTTGTGATAGTGGAGGAGTGGGGTTTTTTTTTGCTACCCAGTCTTTTCAGAGCGCACTCTTTCTCTGCTGATATTCATAAACTGTGCTGACAGTACATGTGCCATGCCCGCCTGTCCTGCAGTGGAAGCTGACAGACATAAAGCAGGGCAGTCAACTTAGTGAGCGACATTATTTTAGTGCCCATCAGTTGAATGCTACCTAATCTGAAAAAACCTTAGAAAAAAAATCAACTGGACTTAGATTTCTAGATCGAAGATGTTTCACCTCTCATCCAAGACCCACTGTCAGCAGCATCAACTCCGTGACTTACAACATAGCCAAGCACGTGGCCACCATCCTGGCTCCTTTGGTGGGAGACACACAGCACCACATAATAAACTCCCAGGACTTCGCAAGGAAAGTCCAACAACTGCAGCTGGAGCAGGAGGAGACCATGGCCTCATATGATGTCACATCCTTATTCACTTGTATCCCCACCACAGAGGCTGTCAGGGCAGTGAAGAAGAGACTGCTGAAGGATGACATGCTAAACAACAGGATTAGCCTCACCCCAGACCATGTATGCACTCTGCTGGAACTCTGTTTAAACACTACCTACTTCCAGTTTAGGGGGCACTTCTATAGGCAACAACACGGCTGTGCTATGGGCTCCCCAGTGTCTCCTATAGTTGCCA